AGTTCTGATCAACAGGTCACGAGATATTAAAACTGCGCCATAATTGGTAGTGCGCCATAATACCCATATTCACCTTATGTTTTAATAACCAAGTAAGTTTTGAAAAATAAAATTTTATAAATTTTATATGGGTAATTCTATTTTTACCGGGTTATTTTAACCCAGAAAACCAAAATAGCTAGTAGAAAATTCCAGAATATCCTTTAAGTGATCCACACTTTTGTGAGTCATGTGACCTCTCTTTTAATAAACTATAAATAGCTTTTGGTAAAACTAAAAATTTTAAAACTTAGAGCAAAGATATCTCAACAGCCACTTTATTAAATTTGACGGAATTTTTTATTTGAATTTTATAAATCTACAGAATTCAAATAAAAATTATTTATCAAATTTAATTAGATAGTTGTTAAGATATCTTAAAGTTTTGATAATTTTTATTTTTACTAAGAGTTATTCTTATAGTTTAATTGGTGCATTACGAAGTGTGGATCACGTGACCTCCGAAGCGTGAGTCACGTGACAAAAGGTTCTGTAATTTTCTGCTAGCTGTTTTGGTTTTCTGGGTTTAAATAACCCGGGTGAAAATAGAAATTCCCATTTTATATGATGATCTAGGCATTTTGATTGACTACACTATGTAAAATTTTATTATAAAAACCAATTAAGCTTGTAAGATTTATATACTAATTTTACACTAAGATACATAATGGGTGTAGTGCTATACTTTATCACTTTCTCTTCTGCTATTGCATACTGTGCTCAGTAACAATTCTATTTTCACGTAGATATATGCTCACGTGACGAAGCATAGAAAGTATGGTCCCACACTATGGTGTGGCACATTCAATTCGTTGCACATAACATCTACTTTTTATATATTATGAGATTTACTTGCTTGTATTTTTTTTACAGGTTTTTGTCTCAATCAAAACGAATGGAAATCACTTATCAGTTATAAAAATGTGCTTTTTTATTATTGTTCTTCAGAATTGAACTAACAAAGTATGGATTGTTGCGAACTGTTTTTCAGATAATTTTCAGGCTGGTTTTAGCTGTATTATGGAGTCAAGCCGACCAAAGCTGGTGAGCTGCAGCTTAAGCCATAATTTGAAGTACAGATTTTAACTATGGCTCAGCATCAGCTGCAGCTTGGGATGTTAAATTGACCTATCAATCTGATATTATGAAAATGGAATAAATTAGGCATTTTGGATCGTCAATTTTCGGTCTATTGATCCGGATCCATACGTTGCTCCACAGTTATTGAAGCCAAACTTGTGTCATGGCTAGAACATGACTTGAGCCATGGCTCAAGGTGGTAGATGATACTGATGCAGTAATGCAGTAGCATTACATTAAATATTATTACATAGGTACAATGATGATTTTAAGGCAATATATAACAGCCAAGTTGTGAATAGACGTAGTCTAATCAAAAATATTTTTGTCTAATTGTCTATGCCTACTGGTGTCTATTGTCCTAATGTCTATTTGTCTAATGTCTATTTAATCTACTATATTAGCTAGTTTATGAAATCTAAATTAGCCAATCAGGTTGCTTTAAATTATATATATATTTGTTAATGACTTGATTGGGCACCATTAGACCATTAGACTGTCTATTGTGTCTATTAACTTGTCTCTTGTCTATTCACAACCCTGGTTAACAGCTTTAAAAATCTTTTAATAGGCTGAAATTTGTCTACAAACTCTTCATCATAATGGTAGGTTTTCACATGATATTTCAATTAAGTACCTTTGGAACCTTTTTTTATTTAATCAATTAAAACATTATCAATCAATATATTAATTAATTTCTCGTTTAAATTTTTATTCATATTGATTTAAGCTTCTCTCAAGCACATAAATTAATAGGTCGGAGTTCAATTTTTAATCGGTGGAAAGTAGTTTAACCGGGCCAGTAATTCATTATCGTGATGAAGAAAGGAAGTTTGAAACCACCTTTTTTGTCTTAGATTTGTTCTGATTGGCATCTACATTTCATAATATGTATCTTCCGAAAAATTATGGTAAAAATCGCTTCAATTAATAGTAGTACTTATGCATGATCTCGGTAACTAGCTAATCACATTGAGAGCACCCTTAGTCCCTAAGTTTAGTGATTATTATTGGTTTAATTGGCCTAAGTATTTACTATGCGTAATTCACGTCTCATTTAGCTTCTTATCCACATTAGTATATATAATTATCATCTGCCATGAATATTTTAAATTATGCAGATTAATATGACCAGTTCAGTACGGTATGGGTCTATTTTCTAATGTCTGTTCCGGCGTTATGTATTATTAAGGTTAGCATTAGAAACTATAGTGTATTGGCATGATATGTTTTAAAGAGATATTTTCACTCTATAAATCTTAAAATCTTATAAAATTTCTTGCCTGTTTAAATTATAGCATCTCATATCAATACAGTTATGTGATATTTAGTTGTATATCCGATATTTATTTATCTGAATTCAAAATATAACTATTCTGTATTGGAGTTGTCCAACATTTTCTAAATTAGGCTTACATTCATCCGTTCCTGGTTTAGCACGACAATGCCGCACAGCTACTAATTTTTTATATATTAAGATTACGATGATCTTTATATATAGATAGCTTGAAAAATAAGGACCGTGTATAGGGACTTTTGAAACACTCGGTATACTTACTCGAGTTAATTAATGCGAAATAAGATATATAACCAGTATAATGTATATCCGGATAATCTGATATGTATACGGATAATTATCCGGATAAGATCCGGAATTGCGGCATTAACGGCGTGTAATATTTACCGCGTGGTAGAATGCAATGCCGTAATTCAACCGCCAGACGTGGAGTTATATAAAGAGTAAGTCTCTTTCTTCTTTTCAAATTCACATCTCAAATTATCCCACCATTTAAAATATAATTTTTTTTGAATTCTCCCTCATTTAAATTTTAATCCTTTATTTTTTTGACTTATACTTTAATCTCATTTCTCTTGTTATATTAACAAACTTCAAATGAATACTCGATTATTTGTCATTTTCACCATTGTTCTGTTTGTTCTTTATTGTATGGGGGTTTTTTTTTGTTATATGTAACTGTTTTGTGATTATTATTTTAATTATTTTTGCTTTTTATTTATTCATAGAGCACGGAATAAATGTGAATGGTCTTACCTGCGATAACCCATCAACTTGTACATCTAGGAATTTTTGTGATCGTAGTGACTGTCTTTGCGCTTCAACTGCAGAAGGACAAAATACTTGTGTCAATTTAGCAACATCGCCTGCGCAATGTACAAAGTCTAATGATTGCAAGCATGGAGAAATATGCATAATTCACACTTGTGGAGGCAGTGTTTGTTTCCTTCCCTGTTAGCCTTTAACACCTAGTGTATATAGTGTCAGTGCAGGTCAATCTAGTGGCACTGCAGATTCTCCTAATAAGGTAGCTGCGCGATGCAGTCGGCTAGAAGCCAGGAACGAAAACAATTTTTGTAGTTGTTTTTATAGTTGATAAATTACAATATTTGCTAACTTGACTTCCTATATATACATTACTGTTGTAATTTCGTTATTTCATTTATTTAACTGATTAATAAATCATCTCACAAACAAGAAACGTGTTAGGCAATTGCAGTGGGCTATGCGAAATGTAATTGATTTTTGTGTATCAAGATATTAGAATAGCATTTAATATAAAAAGTTCTATAACAAATCAGTGTAATTTTTTTATTTATTACTACTTATTGCGGTAAATACATTAAAACTGTTACGAGTCCGAAGCCTAACATATTATTACTATACCAGAAACGTAGTGTGAACATCGGTTGGGAGAGAATTTACGGATGTTAATCTAATTTAGCTCCGATGGTTGACTTGATACAAAAACAGGTTAAAAATCATTTTAGCATACAAATTTGTATGCTCGATAGTTTAAGAGATAAGCCAAAAGTAGGTTTAAAAGGCTATTTTTTAAATAATTAGCTTCTAAATTTAACGTTGATTGTTATCAACTATTAAATAATCTCCAACCCATCCTAAAACACCTGAGTATTTCAACAAACAGTAGAAGTACTTCCTTCTATAGCTTAATATAGCTCTTTTATTAAGTTTATTAGTTTTTTAACTTGTTTAAACATCAGGAAAG